TCTTAGCGTCGCCGCTTCAACAATGAGCTGACTCACACCGTGCAACGCGCGCGTGCATTCATAATAATGCCGATAATATTTTAACCAATCTTCTGTACTACCGTGCTAAGGAAAAACGCCGTATGAGCCTTCAGACGTTGCCAAGTTTCCTCGGATAAAAATTGAATTTACTGGGAAAATTTTTGAATATTATTTTCCAAAATTTTCAGACGATTTTTTAAGCAATTTAATCTAAAATATCATACAATTTTGGAGAAAAATATGCATGAATGAAGTGAAAAATACAGGTTTTATCAAGGGAAATTTGGCAACTCTCGAATGTTCATACGGCGTTTTTCCTTAGCGCGACAGTGTACCCCCGATCGTCATTTTCATAGACCGATAACAAAAATTAACGTTGGCGCTGCTTTTACGACGCTATCGTTTTACACTACGCTGGAAAAAAGTCTCTCGGATCCAGAGTCGAGCCTTTTAAAAAATTTGAGAAGGAAAAGTAATTTTGATTCAATCGGATTTGTGCTTGAATCGAGAGGCAAGCATCTTAATTTAAGCGGATTACCTATTGATTCAAGCAAAAGCCCGCCTTTGAATCAAGTGTATTTTTTCTAGTCAGATTTCTGGATCTAGTAGCAAGGTGTCTACTAAAACAGACTAGCCAAAAATTAGTACTTTTACAGTACTTCTTCAGTACATTTCCAAGAAATTCAGTACATCCTCAACAGAAAAATTCAGTACTTTTACAGTGCCTCTACTTGACGAAATTCACAAAATTTCGAAACTTTCACATTCTTTATTGAAAAAATTCCGGAGCTTCTTGCGGAATTTCCGCATTTTTTCACTGCTTCCGGGCCGCCCTTAAAAAATCAGTACTATTTCCGGACTAGTAGACACCCTTTCCAGTGTAGGGCAATCTGTGGCCTCGTAAAATGTACGGAAGGATGAGAATGAAAGCAAGAGAAAAAATCGCAAAAAGATTGCATTGGAAGACATTTTTGAGAGGGATTTGCGGCATCTTTTCTCACAGTCAACGATATTTTGCTCGTTTTTCAGAGGGATGCAGAAAAGGCTTGATTACAGACAGTTCGTAGATTGCGACCGACGAGAGGAAACTCGTGAGTTTTTTAGCTTATCATTCAGGGAAAATGATGCAACCAGCAATTTTTGCCGCGCAATCGAACATTTCGCTATGGAATCGGATATTGTCACGTAAGCAAAAACGAATTTCTGAACCAAGTTTGAACTTTTCAGACCCCTGAAATTTCGTAATTTGTCTGAATGAAACTTTAAGATGAGGGCCAAATAATAAGAGCTGGGAACTACAAATTCTCTTCTTGCGCACCCTATAGCGAAACCGATTAAGGCAGGAAAAAAGAATTTCAAGGTGTGGATGGTTGCTGGGATTGGTCAGATTGAAGATTTAGGTAAGATTTAACGATGTTGGGTTCATAGACCGATGGCGATCCGTCAAGTGCGAGTGGCATAAAAATCATGCAAATTGGTCCAGCGGATGACCGGATCAAGTGCCTTAAAAATTAAGTATTCAAGGTTGTCCAGAGAATCACAGAGCTTATGCTACACTCGCGAAAAATACTGAAAACTGTTTTTTCCTCCTCACGGGAGCGAAAGTGATTTGATGAATGTTCAACTTTCTCATCCTCCATCATGCTCGTAGCATTCTGCAGCTTGAGAATAGGTCAGGCATGCGCCTTAAACTCTTAATTTGATGGTTGAATCCCAAGTCAGAGTTACCACAGAATTTAGAAAATAAGATTCCCTTCCTTTTGTTACATAAAAAAAAAATAATCCCAACTCCCTAAAGGGCTTTGGGAGGATAGGTAGGGGACTTTGGCGGCTGGATGTCGCAGAGCGCCAAAAAGCGGTGTAAAAGCGGCTTCTGCGTGTGTGAATTCCCTGACATTTCCCTGATTTCTCTGTCAAATTTTGGTAAAATTCTATGAAAATTGAGGACACGCCAGATGCTTAAAATGGCATGATTTGAAATAGTTTTCAGACAAAATTTTTTGTTCAAAACGTCAAACCTATTTTAGAAAGGAAATAAAGATGACTTAACAATTTATCCCTGACTTTTAAAAATTCCCTGACGATTCCTGGTTTGCCCGGTATTCCCTGACTGTAGCAGCCCTCAGGCAGCCCTGTAGCAGTCAGGTAAATCCACCAAATTCGTAAACATCATGGTTTCCTCTCTCCAGCCTCATCAGCAGTTTATGTAGATACCAGTGGCGAGTTGTGAAAGCTAGCAACACTGTTTTCCCTCCATTCAAGTACATTCCCGATTCTCCAAATTTTTTTTTAAATTTCCTGGCTTTCTATTGGGTTTTTCCTGATCCTAACCACCCTGTAAAGCTTTGTAAAATTTGATTCAAAGCACGATTCTAGTAAACGCACTAAGTATGTACTCACTATGCACAACTGACAAAATTCCGATTCTTGCAGCGAGGGTCCATGATGAAAAATTTTGTGAAAAAGGCGGACGAAAAGTAGAAAAACAGGGTTCTTAGTTTGTCTTTTTTGAAAATTGCAGGAGAAGGACTTCTGCTCAAATATAATTTGAGTCAACTCAAGGCTTCAGTTACATTACCTATTTAGGGACTGAAAAACATCTTTCGTTAGCCCCAGATTTTACCAGCAACTATTATTATTTTTAAAGAAAAGATGTTTAAAGGAGAAAAATTACTTAAAGGATGAATTTTTTTTTTTTTTTTTTTTTTTTTTTTTTTTTTAATTCTCCATTACTCATGGCTCCATAGGAACAAAGGGTGCAAATTAAGCACATTTCTGGCCACTTCTGATGGGTTTTGTGCATATCTGATTTTTACTTTCTGAAGTATGAGTCGAAGAGTGGTTGTACTAAGTTGTTTAAATTTTTTAATCCTTTAATTCCTCCAACTTCTTAAACAAAGAAACAATTATCTGAAGTCAAAAGTACCAACTACAGATACAAAAAAAGAACTAAAAGCCAACCAATTTTGGATTTATTCAGTGGATGAAGGGAGGAGGAAATTGTAATACTGAGTTTATTTTCTCCTCTTTTTATTTTTAGCGACTAAAAAAACTTATTTTAATATGAGTTTTGGAGTGTAATGCGGCAACACCTCTGCTCTTAATCGCAGTTAAATGAGCAAATGAAAAATCATTGAATGTAATAAAAGAGGCAAAAGCGCTCAAACAGAAAGGGCATGAAAAGACAGAAAGGCCAGGGGTGGAATCATAATGTTTTGACTGTTAGTTTACTCAATATTAGGAAAACATCCTCATCAAAAACGCGCTGTAATAGACAGAAAATGACCTAGGTATTCCTAATTCCTCAAAAAACAGGGAGATAATCAGAATTTGATGGCAAAGAAACAATAGGCTCTAATAAATTTTCAGATGTTGGGAGTCAGATGCTACACCTGACGCCCTGACGGCATTCCTCTTTCAGAGGAGCATTAAGCACAAACGTCTGACAGCTACAAGCTGATATTTATCTGGAGTGCAAAGTATCTGTTTGTCTAAAAGCTCAGATCTCAAGCTCCACAGAACATCTCAGAATAAGTTCAAGTATTATTGAAAAAAAAATAAAAAAATCACATACTTAATTTATAGCGCCAGCTAAAATATGAGCAAAAGGACGATTTAGTGATGATCCAAACACCGGCAAAAAATGTCCCCCCCCCCCTCACTCACAAATAAATGCTCTTTTTAGGTCCATGAATATTTTTTAGTTTCTAATGCTGTTTGACCGAATTCTATTTGCTTTCAACTATACTTAGGTGATATCAGGCTGAGGATGCCTAATCAAGATGAGAGTATGTAATTCAATCATATAACTTACCATGGCGAGGTAGGTCATGGAAGCAGTCAGTTCTTGCTGCACTTGGTCTTTCATTTTCTGAACACATGGATCCACCATTGTGATCCAGTCTTGCGGGATGTTGACTTTCGGTAACTTGCCTGAAATATACAGAATAACTTGAATGGATAGAAGATACTGTACTTACACATATTTTGGTGCTCAAAGTATAGGAAAAAAGAGTATACTAACAGTACTTACAAGTTGATACTTGTAATGTCTAACGTCCTTCAAACTACTGTAGTACTCTAGTTTCAAAACATCAGTGGGTAACTCCATTCGGTAAGGTTGGGTTGGTGCATTACATCAGTTGACATTATGAGCCACTTATAAAGTGATGGAGTCAAATATCATCAATTTATAAATGCTGTATATCTTTTGACTGCCATTTAAGGGAACATGGGAGGCTTTGAACAATCCTTGCTATAAAGAATGTCATTTCCAGGCCTCTTCTGGAAGCAAGAGAACTTAGAGGGGGGTCAGCGCCACAGATTTAGCTTAAGAATCCTAGCAATGCCAAAACAAGTGAGCAACCTCCTCAGCGCATTTTAGCCTTGTGACTGAAGTTGTTTTCAACGAATACCCACGCTTACAGATGCTGCGTTCAAGACACGCAAGATGATAGAAAAGTGACTATCAGGGGGAAATGTAAGAAAATGAATTGCAGTGGCGTTCTTATCATCAGAATGGTGAAAAAGTATTTGTTATTAACTCGGTAAAGTTGGAGGAACTTTGCCGATACATCCTTGACAAGTGTGAGAAAAAGCTGGCAACTTACATTGTAATTTTGTGTCCGCAAGCGACTCTGAAGCTGCAAAAGCAGCCAAAAGGAAAGTGACGAGCACGTAATTCATGGTTGACGAAGACAGACGAATTCCTAGAGGACACAAACGGCCTTGTTACAATCAGTGGTAAGGTTAAGGGAGGATGTTAATTCACATGTGAGGGATAAGAAGAGAGAATTTCTTCCGACTACCTTTACCCACACTGGAGCAGAAGGTAACAAAAGAAGTGAAACGAGGTTTCGCTGATGCGGGGTGTTAAGAGAGATAAATCTTTCTTGATGAAACCATGAACATCATCGGGAACAAAACGAGAAAAAACACTTCTAATCACTGCTTGAATCCACTCGAGTATCGCGCACTGATAAAAACACAAAATTTCCACAGATACACAGACACACTCACACTGACGAGGTTTACTCACGCACACATCGACCGATGACTGCGCAAAAGAGAGAAGACAACAAAAGATTATCACTGCGCATGCGTCCTTCCCAATCTTTTTGTTGTTTGCTGTGTTATTGTCCTAAAGTTGATTCGGTGCGAAGAACGAGCAAGTACATGATTTCTGTTCCGTTTCACACTTGAATTGATAAGCTGAATCTTCCTCCCTCGAAGGCCAGACTACAGTTCTCAGGATTTCATCTCATTTCGTAAGTTTTTGACGAACAATTTATTATATTGATTTCTTGTCTTGGCTTCATTTTTTCTTGGTTTTCCGACCTCAAAATATTCACCCCCATGGGAGCCTCACTTCCCCATTTTGCTCTCTCTGATAAATGATTCATTCTTGATTTTAGGTCCAATCATGGATGCAAAATTGAGCCTTCTTCTCTTGCTGGGTGCTGTCGCTGCGGCTAGCGCTGAATTTTGCTACAGCGATGTCGTCGGAGCTTGCAGTCCCACAGGTATCATTTCCTTTTACGTTTTACTGAGGCTCATTAGACAGTCATTTTCTATTTTTTCATCAATTCATTACCAGTTAATATAATATGAGATGTATATTTTACCATGTGTGTTTCTCTCAGTCATAACCAAAAGTTATCAACTCGTCGAATCAGTACAATTCTGCAGCGATTGCTTTCCCTCTCGATCAGGTTTAGGTCCAGGATTAAGTACGGCCTGAAGGATCAAAGTCCCATTCTTCACCTTGCCTACTCAGACAGACAGGGAGAAAGAATTTACAAGAGGAGAGAAGGTAAATTTTAATAGTTAGAAATCGCAGAGCTCCCACTGTGAGCTCAATGTCGCTGTGGTAGGATACTAAGGTATTTTCAGAAGTGAATTATATTAAGTAGGTACCAATAAAAGTGTTTGCAAGGATCTAGAGCAAAAAGGATACAAAATTTAATACTAATCAGGAATACATTACTAAACTGTGATGAGAAAAATATGATTCTCTCATCAGGAAGTTCGAAAATTCATTCTTGAGAACATTTGACTGTTTTTACTTAATTGATATTTCTTGTCAAATGTCGTAGGTGTAAATAGCACCGTTTGTATAAATTGTGTATCATTTGATCACAAAGTGTACATGTTGATAACTGGCCTGAGAGTTGATTTCTAAACACATCTTTCGAACTTTCAGGCTTCTTAGCAAGATGGAAAAAGTTGCACAACTTTCTGTACATTGCAATGATACTCAGCTCTATCCTGCAAAACTCTTTCCTAGAAAGGTCGACTAATTGGATCGCATTTTGCAAAAAGGAACCAGCACAATTACAGTTTTCTCAAGATTGTGCAACCTCTCTTTTCCTTTTAAAAATACTCAAAACATAAACAGTATTAAAACTTACATAATGATTTTCCTTTTGAATCGACAATTTTTTGGTGGGAAGCGAAAAAAAATTTGCTACACCGGGAAATTTTTTAGTTAATTATGAAGTAGCAACATTTTTACATCACTGTAAACGTGCTGGTTCCTTTTTGCTAAATGCGATTCAATTGACTTTAGTCTCCGACTAATTTTTTACATTTAATCGGGCCACAAATGTCAATTTTCAAGGTTCTCTGTTAACTGGTATGGGTACTTGGGTCACCTGACAGATTCAGGAATTGGTAGTTCACAAACTTGAAACTACAAATGGCTTGCTTTTAGCAGACTGTAATGTTTGAATATTCTTCTAGGCTCAGAATTGGCCAACTGTAATGCCAAGTACGGAGCTGCCCACGAAGTAATGAAAGATTTACAGAGCTATGTCAATACACACATAACCCGGAACTGGCAATATCTTTTGATGGTGAGTCCTTCAAATTAAGTCCGCCACCTTTTGTGAAATAAATTGAAAAAAAAAAAAAAAAAAAAAAAAAAATTTCTGTAAAGAAAATGATTGTAGGTATATGGTGAAATCCAGTTTTGAGAAAATAAGCTATGACGTTTTTGAAATGTTTGTTTCTTATTGTAAAAGAATTAATCTCTGGAATGAATGTTGTGAAGCACGTTTTTAACCATTATTTACTCTTAGTATCTGGCTGATTGTGAGATGTAGACAGTGGAAGGAAAGTATACATTTTTCCGAAGTGCGACACCCTTTCTGTTTTCATTAAATAAAAACCAATTTAAAATCATTTTTCCCTCAGCTGAATTTTTAAATACTAAGAGTACTCTAATAACTGAAAGTTAATTTAAAATGTTACAAAGCATCGCAAATCGTTAAGAGTCGTTGCTGTGTCATTTGGGGGATAGTAAGGGATAACTAAATGAAAAGTCTACAACAAGATATGTTAAATTAAACTTCATGGTGCAAAAAAAAAAAAAAAAAAAAAAAAAAAAAAAAAAAAACAAGAAATGGAATGCTGAATGTGCAATGTAGTGAAACCATGTTTGCACTAAACTCAAGCAGTGTTTAAACCGATGTTGGTTGACATTTAAGGGTGAATGTCTGAGAAATGGTATGTTAAATCTGTAAGCACTTAGCGAGGCTTTAGTTCTGGATGTTATGGATGAACACACTTGAATCTCATAAAATTCTATCGAAAGAATTTCCTCTAAGTAAGATGTTTTTGGTTTCTCCTCCAGTAAGTATTCAAATTGAGAAAAATTCTTTCCAAATGGGTATATTGAAATTTAGTAAATTGCTATCAACACACGTACAAATGACGGATGAAGCAGTGAAATTTCCCGAATCGATATTCAACCTCTAGAGAATTAAATTTCATTTCTTTGAGGCTTAATATGTGCTCAACTTATTTTTCTACAAGGTGGAGAAATGGTGCTGGGTCCATACCATTTGACAGGGAAAACAAAATCAAAAATTTCATTCAGAGTCAAATGAAAAAATTTTTTGAGTTCTAATGAGTACCAGTACATTTTTTCGGGTTTTCCTTGTTTTGTTATGTGAGTTGTTCAGCAGCAACGCTAGATGTTAAGAGGAACACCCCTCCCCCCCTCTCAGCCTTGTACTGGTACTCATCAGAGCTCAAAAAAATTTTTTGTTTGACCCTAATTGAAATTTTAGGAACTTTCTGGCTTAGTTTTCCCCGCGAAATGGTGTGGACGTAGCACCATTTCTCCACCTGGTTTGCATACAGTTCGGGCCATTTCATAGTGTTTTTTCTTGCTTACTATTCCATAAATTTCCTCATTGCCTCTAAAGCGTCATCCAATTATGGTTTTTTTGAAAGTGTACATTACACCAACTATGCTGATTCTGTAACAATGCTTTTTGCTTGTCTTCAATTATTTCATTCTCTCATTTTAGTCAACTTACTTCAACAACTACGAGAAAAACCGTGCCGGTTTCTCCAAACTTTACAAGAAACTGTCCGACACCGCATGGGAGGACGCCATTGACCTCATCAAATACATCGGCAAACGTGGAGGTAAAATGGACTTCGGTTTCAGGAAGGAAGACACTTACCGCGCTGTGAGTATACTACCTGTTACTGAGCCTTTCACATATTGAATTCTTAAAAGAAACATTTCTCAACTCCTAGATGGTGTGTTTAATCCTTGCATATAAAACTCAGTGTCAAAATGAATTTTGTAATGGAACAGGAAAAAAAAACATTTCGAACCGATTTTCTTTTGGAAACATGTCGACGGTGCAAGTCAGCAATCACATAACTCGTTTGCGGTGTCTGAAAATCTCCGCAACTATGTTATTTTTTTAAAGGAGAACAAATGGACATGATTCCTTGAAGTTTTTGCAGAATTTTCCTCGCACATAGAAGAAAAATCACGGCAGTTTTAAAGAATTACCGTTGAGTAGTTTTCCGTCTAAAAAATAAAGTATGACAGGAAGTCTGCGACGTTGCAAACCGAGTTATGTGATTGCCGACTTTCACCGTCGATGTGCAGTATTAGTGAATGACTCCATCATTAGCATAGCAAAGCGCAAAGCCTCTTGCGGGTCGATACCTTAAATTTTTAATAACCATTTGGACTGGACCAAATTGTTTAAAGCCCCATCCAATCTGTGTATAAGATCGTATTGAACTTGTAGGATCCCATGTAATTAATTGTACAGAATCGGTCTACTAGTTTTGTAACTCAGTTCCTAGAAAGGCTGTAAAATCTCACTGAAATCTGGCAAGCACACTTGCACCTCTAACCATCAATCGATTAGTTGAACAGCACTTCTAGAATTTTGGCAGAGCAGTGTTTGTTGGGACAGAGGTATCAAAACTTGCAGGTCGTGTGGAACTAATGTATGCTGCATTTTGCCATCAGGCGTAAAATCATCAGATGCAAACTGAATAGTTTGAAGTTGGAAAAAGTTTCCTTTTTTGTAACCTTACAAGTAAAAATGATATCATATCTGTCTGATTATTTGGTATCTCGTTCATTAATTTATTCCCCTCTTTTGTGTCGTTAGTGATTTTTCCCTCATCTTTTAATGAACTCACCTTTTAGAATTTTTAGTGAAGCACTGAACTTTTACTCCTTTTTTACCAAGCTGTAGAGCCTGTTATTGGTGCTTAACAAAGAACACATGATGAAACATATATTTTGTAGTAGATACTCTTGTGTAGTAGATTTTTGGTTTTACAGTTTTTGCCAATCAACTTCATGATGACATTTCTTAAGACAAGTAACCACGAAGTTGATGAAAATAAATCAAATCAGATTCTGCTTCATCATCATAGAGTACAATAAAGTCGCAATTTACTGGAGTGCAGATGAATTAAATCCTCGAAAAATATAATCCTAGCCTTCTGTTTGCTGGGAAGTGAGAACCATACGGCATTCTTGAACATGGCGGCTTATGGGAGAATCGCAGGCTACGGATAGTTTGCGGGATTTGTAAATTTAAATCAATAATTATTTTCGCAAATTTCGCCAATCATGTTGACCAAAGTCGTATAAAACTAAAAAATGTACGAAATTACCAGTTTCCATGCAACAAATTTTATACCTGTATTTTCTGAGAGAAGCCTGGACCCTACACATACGGCATTGCCGGTCACCGCACATTGGTTTCAAGAGGACCAGACAAAATAGCCTCAAATAGTGATTCTATAGGTACTTTAGTACATAGCGACTCTATTATACTCTATGTTTATTACTTGATAGTTTTTCTCACTTCTTTTCCATTCATCAACCATCTCATGAAAGCATTTTCTTTAGTATGCAAGTATTTTCAACCTCTGTTTTATTTTATGAATTTTTTCAGAATGTTGATACTTATGAAATGCATGAACTGGGAAGTCTTGCAAAGGCTTTGGACATCCAAAAGTCTCTAGCTGAAGAATCACACCACATTCACGGAGAAGCCATGCGCAGGAAGCAAGACTTCCACGACCCAGAGGTAATTTATGATTTGTCGTTATTTTTTTGCATCGTTTTATTCAAGGTCAAGGACCGTATTTTGGAGCATCAAGACTTATTGTCCGAGCCAGAAACTAAAGCTGTGAAAATTTTTGATTGAAACAGATTTATTCTCTCTAACAAAATATTGTATTATGCGTGAAAATTGAGGGAAAGAAAAGTACTGCTGAAACACAGCTGTGTGTATTGAAAATATTCTCCTGCAGTTCATTTTAGATGAGTAAGAGCTAAAATAGTTTCACTAAAATCTTTATTATCGCATGGGTTTTCTCCATTAAGTGTAAAAACTAAGAGTAACTAAGAATGAAAAGGTGATAAATTATTAATATAAACTTAGAATGATTCAGACTTTCAGTCAATTCTACCTTTTTCTATTTCACTCGAGAGGTTGCCGGATTTTGCAATAATTGTGAATATTTTACATGGATTTGAATTGGGAAAAGTGGAGAAAAAGCAACTTATCTGGCAGCAGTAGAGTCTGAGAGGGACAAGAGGCTGCCTTTCTGGGAAAACCGATGATTTAGCCGGAAATGTCAGTAAAACAATTCCCTCTGTTTTGAGATTTCCAGTTTTCTGGATTTTTAACGCTCATTGGCTAAGAATTCCAACCTACTGTCTTCTTGTGCTTAGGTTTGTACTTAAATTAATAACGCAAACCTTTTCCATGATGTTGCAGGTTGGTTCTTTCATTGAGAACAAATTCGTTCACCAACATGCTGATGCCGTACGTGAATTGGCCGGACACTCAAACGACTTGAAGAAATTGATGAGCAACACAGCCGATCAGAGCCTTGCCCTTTACATCTTTGACCAGCATCTTCAGAAGTCACTTGGTTAATTCCGTACTCACTCTCTCTCTCCTCGTAAAAATAAAAATCATCACTGTGTTAATGACTCCTCAATATAAAGAAAAAAATCAAACATGATCAAACCTAAAAGGAGGGCATTCCTAAGACTTTACCTTTAATTCAGTTTATATTTTTGTTAAAGATAGTTTTAGTGCACTTTTTTAAAATACCGTCAATAATATTAAGTAATATTAAGTTTCAGTATTTTTAATTGTCTTGTAAATAAAGTTGAACGTTTTTTCCGGTTATTGCTTAGTCCAATTTTTTCCATTCACACCGATGTGTTAACGTACGTAACAGATTCATGCTGATTTCATTAAGCAGCAATACTCAAGATTTTAACCTAGAGTGATTGATAATGCAATCTTTATCCAAGTTCTCTTTTAAAGATGGATCTCTCATGAATTTACCGGAATCATTACAGAATCTGGAAGGATCCAAAATGATTAAATTTTCTACAAGATCATCATGCGAAGAGACTTTAAAAATATTAATGGAACAAAATCAAATGCCTATCCCTTGCGCTGCTGTCTGAGGTTAGAATGCTAAATGAGCCTTCAGGCCTTGCCAAATTTCTTTTGATAAAATATGCATTTTCAAGAAAACTTGTGAATATATTTGAAAGTCTTGGAGGAAAAGGCGCATGAGTGCAGTTTTTTTTAAAAAATTTAGGTATTAATGATTTCAAGTACAACTAGTCTTAATGCATATTATGTGGAAAATTTGCTCCCAAATTCTAATTTTTAAGCATAAAAAAGTCAGTTTAAACTTTCTTTCTGCCGTAAGGATCCATGTACATAATTTCGAAACTTCAAACACATATTTCTCCAAGTGGCAAAAACTGCACTTATGCGTTTTGTCCTCCAAGCCCCTCATTTCTCCTATTTTGTCGATAATTTTATTCATCATTTAATTGGAAGTACCTGAAAACTTGAAGGAAAAATATTAAGTAGAACTTTATTAAATAAGGAGTATCTTGGGAAAAAATTTTGCACTGAACAAATGTCTATGCAAATTAACATTATCTTTGATAGTCTTGCAATACCTGCAAACGTTTGAATGTTATGGTTGTCTTGCATTGGCCGCTGATGCCATTTTACCCTTTGAAATAGAAAAAGCAAAAGATGGTTACATTTAAAATTTTATGGTCTTACTTTTTCAATCTGAAGACCCTACTCCTACTCGCACCTTTTAAAAAAAGAAAAGAAAAAAACGTCACCAGTGGTCGCTAGAAAAATAAAAACTTTTTAAAACAGACAGTGGCACCTACTCAGGTAGTCTAAACCAATCTCTTCCTATTTTATGTCAGACTTGAACTTGATCATGTCACAATCGCACACAGTCTGCCAAAAACTTTTTGGATTAAGTAAACGAAGAATTCTCTTTTTTCATCAATAACCCAAAGTTTAGTAGTGCTTAGGGTATCTTAATTAATTGCATATATCAGTAAAGTGCAAATAATTTCAAAAGCCCATATTGAATGTACCTCTCAGTATGGACATCATGAGAATTCATTAAATTAAAGCACAACTCAGATCATTTGCACACTTACCTGTAAGGCAAGCATCAATAAAATGATCGGCTTCTTTGATTGGATATTTGATAATACTTACAAGTTGGTGTTGATTCAGTTATGTGGCGAAGGTAAACCGTCGTGAGAGGAGGATTTCCGGATGTATGTGTGGATTACAGTCGGATCAAATTCACGTCTAACGAAAACGCCTTCAAATAGCCGTATAGACAACTAATCGTACTCATCATGTACGTTAAGTTACATACTTGAAAATTGAAGGCGTTTTTCTCCCCTAGTCTAGTACGGTTGCTTTTGGAGGCATGCGAGTGTGTGCGATAATTTTTTTTTTTTTTATTGTTACGCAGTGTTTGAACGTTCTCTATCAAACTTTTAAATTGTAAATAACAGTTTGTTCCACTGAGATAAAAGGAAAATCATGAGAAAAATGTTTCAAAATGCGGCCACGCAGAGATAACTTTGGCGATTTTTCGGCGTTCCGTCTCTACGGACTTACGGAGCGTAGCTCTTCCCTTCTTGCGACATGAGTACCATTAAAAATTAGTCAAATTCTTGAAATTTAGGTAGAGTCAACCTCTAATGATCAGTGAAGCGACGAAATGCAAATGAAAACAAACAATTAAGTGACTTCACGCGATATGTTTTCGCTACGTTTTCCTCTCTCGTCTGTTTCTCTTGGAGCGGCGATTTATATTGAGTAAGTTAATATTTTGCGCAATTTTGTCGATGCGACCAGAGCCGGATTTACGTACTTGCCGCCTATGGGCCGCTAGTATTTTGCCGCCCCCTTCTTAGTGGGGCCGATAAGTGGAAAATATCATAACAATCGTGCACTTCTGGAAGAAAGCATGAAAATTTCAGGGATTCATCTCTACCCTATAGACATTCGATTTAGACATAGACCCCAAAAATCTGAGCCCCCTGGGGGGGCAGGGGGCCCCCAAATTTTGAATTTTGAATAACTACTGAACGGCTAATGTTAGCGTGATTTTTCTTTAACAGGACGATGGGAAATTTTATTAGGAACAAAAATGATTCTTACGAATTTTTCTGTGGGATCGATATTTAAGGCTCCAGACGGGAAAAACCATCGGGGGACGGGGAGCCGGCCGTTCTGATGCAGATCCGCGCGCTACGCTGCCTGCCCGGGACGCGCGCCGCGGCGGAGCACAGTGTTACCGACGACACACTCGCTTGTATTGGTTTAATCTCAACGATGCGTGGTTTTAAAAATATTATGAATTTACCGTAATGCCTAAATACTTTGCCTTAGTAATATAAGCCCCACTTTTTATTAGTAATACATGAAAACAAGCAAAAGGCGAAATACTCCAATGTGAGAGCGCCGAGTCAATGGGAGGGGTCGGTTACTTGACAAACCCATACAACAAAACAGTCCGGAACTCCAGCACTTAACCCCATTCTCCTTCTGTTGCCGTGCGCTTTGCTTGTATACCTATATTACCTGCAAAAGTTAAGCCCTATTTTAAGGTATTTAGGCATTACGGTAAATTAATAATATTTTTAAAACCACGCATCGTTGAGATTAAACCAATACAAGCGAGTGTGTCGTCGGTAACACCGTACTGCGCCGCGGCGCGCGTCCCGGGCAGGCAGCGTAGCGCACGGATCTGCATCAGAACGGCCGGCTCCCCGTCCCCCGATGGTTTTTCCCGTCTGGAGCCTTAAATATCGATCCCACAGAAAAATTCATAAGAATCATTTTTGTTCCTAATAAAATTTTCCATCGTCCTGTTAAAGAAAAATTACGCTAACATTAGCCGTTCAGTAGTTATTCAAAATTCAAAATTTGGGGGCCCCCTGCCCCCCCAGGGGGCTCAGATTTTTGGGGTCTATGTCTAAATCGAATGTCTATAGGGTAGAGATGAATCCCTGAAATTTTCATGCTTTCTTCCAGAAGTGCACGATTGTTACGCTTATCGGCCCCACTATCTCATTCGTTTTGAAACATCAATGAAAACCATCAAATGAACGTGCCAGCGGGGTGTAACGAGGCAAATCCCGTTTCTTCAGAGGCACATACGTCCTCTGGTATAAGATAAGCCAACGTTACTGTAGTTGCCGGAATGAGCTCGCCGGGATCCTGGATTCGGGCGCCAATTTAAAAAATTCGCGAGTTTGAAAGAGGGGAAGAATGATCAAACTCTTGTGTCTCAAATTTACAAAAAGAATGTCCTTTTATTAGCTAAATTTGTGAGGATCCTACTCTAAATATTATGATGCCACTCACTAACGTGCACCTCAAGGCTTGAAATTTCAGGATACATTTAAGAGGAGAGGAGGAGTGAAGCTGGGCGAGATGCTACTCACTAACGTGCACCTCAGCACAGAGGAAGAGAAAAGAGGAAAGTGAAATGGACAGAGGGCTCGACGAGATGCTACTCTCTAACGTGCACCTCGAGTCGAGAAAGATTTAGGAAAGATGAGAGAAGAGGTGACCCTCCGGAAAGGAGAAGGCGATAAACAATGTTTGGCTTAGAGGGCTATCCGATTGATTTGAAGCTATTGAAAGACGATCTCGACATTCGTTGCAAAATTTTTGTTACAAGAAAAATTAATTAAAATATAAAATTTACAGAAATGGATGTAGGAAAATTTGCTACAGAAGTTTATAGTAGTTTAGAATTTTTTACAATTTTACGTTTTGGGTAAAACTACGGAAAACCCTGATTTCGCAGTTATCTTCGAGAGAGAAAAAAAAGAGAAACAGTATTCCATTTCTTTTCATTATTCAAACAGCTGATGTACCGTCACCGGGCGTCGCGGCGCGGTGTCGCCAAGCCGTGACACATTTGTCGCTATTTTGGTCTACAAAATAAGTGGAAGAACTTCAAACGAAGAATGAAATTCTTCGTTACACGGGGGAGGGGTGCATAAGACGCGTTTACTCGTGTTGAACACATTTTTTGGGAGAGCCCTGTCAACACTTCTAGCAAAAGTTCACGGAACTTTGCGCGAAAGTTAAGTCTCGTAAACCCATCTCTGTGTGGAGAAAGCCTTCCATTCATAAGAAATGAACGGAAAAAGTATGAAAAAACAAACATAAATGTGGATTAATGAAATTCGAAGTTGACGGTGAAAACCGGAAGCAAAAGAGAGGCGCCGAAGACGATGTTCAAAGATGCATGTTTCGGAACTAAGCAGAATATGTGTGTTGAAACTTTTCGTGGTTCTTAAGCAATCTCCCGACTGTTTTCGGCCATAATCACTTTCCGGCAGTAAAAACATTTATACAGCCAACTCAAAATCGACAATAATGAAGATACGTGTTTTTGATCCGTCACCCGTCCAGATACATCCGTCCAATTGCAATCCCCTTGAGGTTGGTTCAAAATCCAAAGTAAAACCATGAACATGTCCAGAAAACTGTCATTTATAATTTAAGATTTTAATTAAATACCCGAAGAGCGCGTATAACCCCACCGTAAGCATCAAGAGTATTGAACACTCTAGTATGCCTCGTAAAGCAACCCCACGACATCGGAGGAGAAAAACGCCTTCAATCTTGCAAGTATGTAAATTAACATACGCGATGAGTACGATAAGTTATCTATATTACTATATGAAGGCGCTTCTGATGGGAGGGTATGGATTCGATCGACATGAATGGATCGAAAAATGAAAACGTGAATCGATCGACACCGATTCGATCGACAAAATTCGATTGATTCACGTGCTTGTTGATCGACTCACGGGTTTATCGATCGATTCACGGGTTTTGTCGATCCATTCACGGGTTTTTCGATCGATTCACAGGTTTGTCGACTCATTCACGGGTTTGTCGATCGATTCACGGTTGCCGATCGAATCGGTGTCGATCGATTCACGTTTTTATTTTTCGATCCATTCATGTCGATCGAATCAACACGGGTGTTTTTAAATTAACTGTCGATCGATTCACGTTTTTATTTTTCGATCGATTCATGTCGATAGAATCGACACCGGTTTTTTAATAATTTGTCGATTGATTCATGTCGATCCATTCACGTTTTCATTTTTCGATCGATTCATGTCGATCAAATCCATACCCTCCATAAATTCTGGATCATCCGAAAAAACACGTAGGTGCATACGGGAACTAATGGTTCATACGTTGTTTTTATACTGAGCCAGCGTGTCGATTGTTGAATCGTTATCGAAGGAACTTGATCGATAAATCCGTATCTTGGCAATGCTATTTATCGATCGAGGTCATTCGATAACGATTCAACAATCGACCCACAGAATTTATAATTCCCAATTGCAAAATGTAGTCCATTTATCCAGTTTATACATTTTTTAGAAGATATTAAAAATGGAATGTCCACCTAATCATCCATATTTACACTTCAATTATTATTAATAATCTCCACAAGTAAAATTGGAGGAAAAATATTCACTATTTACACTTACCCTGGAAATCCGTCTTTCATCTAAGTAAATTTGACAACGTTTGATAGTTCAAACGGTGTGTTTCCTCAGCACAATAAGCCAGTGTTGCCCTTTTTTTGAGGAGAGGAGTCATTGCATCGGAGCTTCGCGGTCTGAAAATCAGCACGTAGTTTTAAACATTAAATGAAGGGATAACGGCTGAAGGATACCTATTGAAGAAAAATATGTACTAATCCGAGATCATTTACAGAGGTGCCTGCTTTTTATAGCCTCATAAAAAATGAAGCCCTATAATTATTTTCCGTGTATTTTTTACAAATGGGTTTTTCCCGTTTCTGCCTCTAGTATCTACTTTGATGTCAACATGGTAAGTCGAAGTGCCTATGCACATTATATCTCGCCGAATTAGAAATTCGCTCCTTCCCTCAATTTTGGAAGCATGGATGTTAAAAATGAAAGTTTGATCAGATTTTCACTTTGAATACCTTCACATTCACTTTGAATACCTTCACTTTCACTTTGAACACTTTGATCAGATTACCTGCCATTTTTAAAATGCACGTCCATGACGATCGGATTCGATAGCCCCGCAAGCTCGGTTACCGTCCCCATTATTTGTGATACAACTATATTAACTTTACGGTGTGTTTGTAGTATATCCTTCGGATTGAAGGCGTTTTCCAATGATAGAGTGAGCAATTACCGCGCCGTAATAGTTACCTGATCTGATTATGCTCTATTATTCCAGATGCAACTATTTTAACCTCGCGGTACGTTTGTAGTGTACCCTGATAATTTAAGGGTGTATCTATCACGGGCTGATTTTTGTCTTTCCTCTAGTTCTCCTCTCATTTTGCGTACTATGGACTTACTAGTAACATCTAAAATCGAGCAGGTATATAGCCAGCGGGTCTGTGGGGCTTAATTTCATTGCAACGATGCAGAGTCTTGTTTAAAATTATATTTTATGCTCAAGAATTGTTGCAAATTTATTTTATTTGATTTGATTTTTTTAGTTACTTACTTAATTCTCCTTACGATTTGACGAAAAGTATCTAAAATTCAATGTTATTATAAGCCCATTACCATATGGAGAAAGCAAGTTGCCAGATGATACTCTCTATGTTGCATGGCAGTTACGTCTGTATGTTTTTTATCTCTTTGATGAAGAGGCATTATAATTTGGTAACGCATGAAACACCCTATTTTCAAGTTTGGAACATCGCGATACATGCAGGCTCGGACTGGCCATAAGGGCTATCTGCCATCGGCAGATACGCCCCCTTGGCGCGCCAAAAACGCCCCCTCGGACAAATAGTAGAATAAGAAAAGAAAAGAATTACGACCGAGAAAATGTACGGAAAATTTCTTAAATGAACGAAAGAAGAGAGAATAAAGAGTAAATAAAAGGTGCTCGTGCGCAAGATGTGGCGAACAGAGGTTTAAGAACTACCTTCTGAGGCGAAAACATTTCTGTGAAACTTTCACATTTTTCTTGACATAAGGCGCATTATCATCCCCCGCCTTCGTTCGCTATGTGTAACTCCCGTGGAAGCGATGGTAGGTTCGGTTTTTAGATGTATGCACCCTTTCAGGCCCGCCACATCCCATCTCGGGCCCTGGTACCGGTTTTAAAGTCCGAGCCCCAAGCACGGAGGGGGGGGGGGGCC